TCTCTCTCTCGTATTGAAAAGAAGTGATTGGTGGTGGCGCGAGTGTTTTCTTTTCTTGATGACGTCTCGGGATTTTTGCAATTGATTGACATGTGGACTGACAAACACCCTTCGATCGGGCGTCAGCCTCTTGTATCTCCYGTATCAACACGACCTTTTCCTTACAACRAGGAAAGGACACGTGTATGAGAGTGTGATGTACGAGAAGTCGTCGCACGAATCGGCGGGCACTATTACTCTCCTCCGGAAAACCGTTGTTCAGGGTTCGTCGAGGCTGGGKTTGTCATTATCGATACACACTTTCCACCCTACTCGATATTGTTGCCATTCAACGAGTTGATAGTCATCCCATGGACGGCAGTAGAACCCCACTAGTCGCGCACTCTATGCACCGAATGTCAGCGCTTTGAGCRCTACGAAATTAGGGGCTTCCACTGCCATGTGCGGAGTGAAGACGTACATAGAGAAAGAGCCACTYGACTAAGATCATCCACGTCGGATTCTGAACTGGTCARTGAACGACGACGGGACTTAATACAGAAACGAGACACACGAAGCGTGYYGAARCCTTTCTGTTCTAAACGACGGGCCGTAGCCATGTGGGAAGTCCGACAATATTTTCTGGATTGAATTTGTATTTCTCTCTCTTCTCGCGCCAAACTTCCGCGCGCATTTTGCGTCGCTCGAAAAACGATTGACTTACTTCATCGGACCAACACGGGGGATCTCAGTTCCGTCTATGTCCCCACACTCAATTTCCAAAAATCCTTGGCACACCCCATCTTGCTGTTTTTCTGGGCCTCTTTCCGCACATCTAGCACTCCGAACGAAAGACAGCACAGGGCGTGAGGTTGCGCGTTACACCTAAGGGTCTCTATCCACTACTCTCGACTCATAATTTTTTGTGAGTCCTGCCTCGCTTCACTTAAACCACCAGTACTTGGGCGACGCCTTAGCGTTAACGCTACGCGATTTCCGCGGCCGGCGGGCCGTCGATAAATCGAATCGACAGCCCGTGCTGCTTTGAGATTTGGGCGGTCGGCGAGGCGCGTTGTGCCCAAGTACTGCTGGTTTAAGAAAAAAACAGAATCTCAAAATTCGAGTCGAGATCTGTCAGAATTCTCTCTCAATTTGGACTCTCAAGAGACCCAAGCCAGAGTCCCCAGCCTGCGAACTCTCAAATTCCGAGGGTGCTCCACAGTGCCTTTCCAACTGCTGCAAAATTTGAGAGTTCACTACAGGTAGTGTTTTCCTTTCTTTTTGGAAAAAGGGCGAAGACCTTGAGATATCATCAACCAACCAACTGGCCCTAGGTAATTAATCACTGCAGTATTTTATTCATCCGCTGTCTGTGGAGTTTGAACTCAGGTCTGTATTGCAACAATTTTCCATTTTTTTTCCCTTTCTTTTTGGAAAAAGGGCCACGACCCTGAGATATGGCCCTAGGTAATTAATCACCATAGTATTTTATTCATCTGCTCTCCGTGGAGTTCAAACTTAGGTCTGTATTTCAACAGTTCAGGGGATGCCAACCGAGCTAGGCCAGCTGGTGGTGTCCGGTAGTGTTATCTTGTAGTAATTTAGAACTTGTAGCAAATTGTGTTAGGGTAGGACCCCACAGGACGGCGGCAAACGGTTTCGAAAGTCGTGAGGCAAACGGAGCGAGGCTGCAAATACCGAGAGTGTCGAGGGTCTGAGAGTTTTTTTTTTTTTTTATCAGATATTAAACTGATCAGAACAGATACGATACTTGATCTTAGCCAAAAGGCGGAGAAAGGTACGGGGTCTGAGAGCTCTTAAACTACTGTAGTCTCAAAAATGTTAATGAGCTGAGAGTAGTGGAGTGAGACCCTAAGTTGACTAAGCTACCTTCCAAGGCTCGTGAGCCTGCAATTGCGCCATTTTTATTTTTTTTTACCTAATGTATATTTTTCTCTCGATCTCTATCTATATTTTTCCTCATCTATCGTATCCTCTCTCCACTCTAGGTATACAAAGAGGGAACAGCAGCCTACCTGGATATCTGCCCAGCCCACACACAGGGTAGGTTTGCACCACAACAGTGGTGCCAGAGCAAGGCTGACCAGCCCCTCATCACAGTGCTGGGGGGTGGGCAGGCATTGCCGACGGGAAAACGACGGTGCTAGTGTTGTGACGCCCTAACCTCACGCCCAACGTGACT